TTGTAGCACATAAAAAGGGTATAGTATAAAAGTTATGAAACTTTTCATTTGACCAGTTAAGAACTGCTGTATTCACATAGAACTGACATGACCATATTCAATAATGCTGAAGAACACAAAGTAAGTCCTTGTCAATCATCTAAGGTTAACAAAAAATCCAGTTGGAGAACCAGTTTGTATTGTTATATGCATCTAGACTCAATCAAGAAGGAATGCACTCAATACATTAAAGCCTGGTTGAATGTATACAGTTCTAATCAATACACTGCTAAATCATTTCAACAGCACTTGTTCAATGAATTTTATAATTCCCCAGTGATGCAGGGTTTCACCCAACATGCTACAGGCATTTTACAGAGGAAAAAGTAGATAAAGAATGCAAGAAAATATTATGCAAAGCTATGCATCTACAATTTCTGCCTGGACTAACTGATCTTTCTGGTATATATATATATACACACATTATGTAACACTTTTTGCATTTGTTATATATATGAGGAAGGATAGATTCAGATGTACAGACAGACAAAAGTGTGGAACTGATGCTAGAAGAGGCAAACTTTCTATTATCCTGTTTCTCTTGTAATACTGATTACTGTGCATAGTGTTTTCTTGCACTGTATGCATTGTTTTGTCTATGAAACACACTATATTGAATCAAACCCTGCATCACTGGGGATGTCATCAAATTTATCTGACAAATGTTGGTGAAATGATTCCACAACATATCAATGAGAACCATATAGGTTCAACCATGCTATAGCATATTCCCGGTACAGTAATAGCTTTGTTATCCAGCATCTTTGTATCCGGAAAGCTCTTGTAATAAAAAATTTCAATATCACCAAATACAAATACTCATTGTGAATTGCCATGGCTTTGTTAACATTCTTTCCCACCAACACACTTCAATTGTTAGCCACCACCTGTACTGTGATCCACATTTAAAAATACTTCAGAACATTGAAGTGTCAAAATATTTCCTGTAAAATATCATAAGGGAAATGCTCATAACTGAAATTTTCACCTAAATGGCACTGTCCTAGGCCAACAGATATCAGATTATAAAATTTGTATTGCATTTATTAAATGTGACACATGTAAAGGATTGAGAGCATTCCTTCTACACTGAGTCTTGATACATAAATCTATACAAACTAGTTCTACACCTGAATTTCTTGTGAAACTTAGATGATTGATAAGGGCTTTCTTCATCTTTCTCAACATTCTTGAATGTGCCCATGTTATTTTAAACATGAATACAGCAGTTGTTGATGGATCAAACGAAAATTTTCATAACTTTAATATTACCACCTTTTTATGTAGAACAGGTAAGTGGCTTAATATTGGGTTAGCTTGCCAGTGCACTGAAAGTTAAAAAATGGTTTAATGTTTTGTTACATATGGAGATGAGTAATAATGAAATTTTAGTTCAAATAAAAAAAAATGAAAGAATGAGACAAGAATTATCTTCTGTGAATTAGATGACTGAATTAAGTAGAAATACTGATCAAATTTGGAAAATTTTTAAAAATAAATTCTTAAGTATTCAAGATATGCATGTTCCTTATAGAAAAAAAAAGGTGGCTACAAGTTAAAAAAAAAGCCAAGTTGGCTCACAAAGGGTATAAAGGATAAATGAAGAATAGCAATTTAAAAATAAAAAGTTTAAACTGATTGCAAAGATGATAAATTTGGTAGATTAAAGAAGACTGAGAAATCTGGGCAAATGGGAAATAAATTAAAAACTATATATAAAAAGGTTAGTTACAAATGTGAAACCTAATAGTTAAGTTGTATCTACAGAAATATTGAATATGTCTAAAGACAAAATGTCATTATATAGGTTATTGGTTAGACCTTTAGGAGTATTGTGTCCATTCTTGGGCTCCTTACCTCAGAAAGAACATTGAATTGTTGGAAAGGGTTCAGAGTAGGATGATACTTGGGATGGAAAGATTATCCTATGAAGATAGGTTAAGATCTTTGCACTTGTTCTCTCTTCAAAAAAGAAGAGCTAAAGGGGACATGAAAAGGTAATCAATAGTGTCGATGCAATATCATTTTCTGTATTTAATGGTGAGAATGGTAAAGTAGGGAAACCAAATATTAATTTTGGCATGGTAGGAGTCATCTTCAGCTAAGACAGTCTTATTTTATTAACAGGGTAATTGGCCTTTGGAATGAATTGTCTTCAAATGGGATAAATGCAGTTAATTCAAGGGAATTTAATACTTTCCACATGGGCTCAGTGGATTTAACATACCTTGTAACCAAAAAGTAATAATCATAGTTTCCATACCATAACGTTTAATATGGTACATGTGTCTTCACGAAATTTGTCAAACTTTCAGTAAACATTACAAGTGTTTTGTACAAAAAAAAATCAGATTTTTTAATTAAGCATTTTTACAAAAGATTTGTCCATGAATATATGGAGTTAGTGTCAATTGCTCCAAGTGCAAAGTGATTTTCATGTTAATATTAAAAATACTTTTCTTCATAAGAAAAGTTTCAAATTTAATTTGTATAACCTCTAGAACCTACAAAATAAATATCAAAGTTTTTTCTTGTAAAACTTTATATTTTATCTGTAATTTATCTACCCTAACTCTATACAGACTCGGTTTGATTTGACTTACCTTGTAACCACTATAAAAAAATACTATAATAAATCAACATTGCTCTTTCTTTCTTTCAAGAATGACTGTGGATTGTAACAGGAACCTACATTTGTTTATGCTAAATAGTTTAATGTTCATAACAGGATACATCTGTTCATACTTAATTTTATTGCCCTTTGAACTCTGTCTAACTAACAATTCCAAAATACAAGTTGTAAGTCACTCTGGGAACATGTAGCTCACATTACGCTACTGAATGACCTAACATACAAGCTGCTCATGAGCATACCTTGTGAAGAATGAATTTTATTATCATTATTTTACCTAATTTAATATAACAAGTTTCTAATTTTCAAATTTTAATAACTTTTATAACAATAAAAAATATAGATGAAAAACCAAAAATATAGTACTTACTTTTGCCCTTGTTTTTTTGCTGTCAGATGCCAATGAAATTTAAGACAACCTTTTTTATACTAATGGCACTAGTACACTAAATAATTTTTATTTACTCGAATAATGCAACTAAGAACACAGAAAAGTAACATATACAAAGCAAACTATGTCCTATAAGTATCATAATTTAACTGGTTTTCTAACTATGCAATAAAAGCCATTAAAAATTCAGCTAAGTTCATCAATGCACATCCCATGGAAGCAAAACAAACAATTCTCTGTAGAAGAAACAACATAATATATCACTTGAGAGATTAAAACTTTGGCTTTCTATTGGTTATAGATAATATAGTATTAAACATCAGAGAGAAATATTGGCAATTTGTGAAAGAGAGGATGTAACACTTGGGCATAGTAAGTGGGTCTGATTTTCTAGTTTATGACTTTATAAACAAATAAGATTGCAGGCAATAAGAATTAGGTTTTGCCTTGTTGATACTTAAATTATAATGAGTAATTTACATTAAAATCCCATACTCCAGAGAGAGGTGGTAAATGAATTAGAGAAAGGGGAAGACCAAGAGATGAAACATCACAATTCTCATATTAGGGGAGATAGATTTCTTTTTTTTAAATATATCCTTATAAAATTAAAAACTTAAAACTTATAAATTATTAAAATTTATTAACTATATCTTGATGCCAAGTTTATTTCTCAACATTGATAATAAACTAGTTTAATTAAATTTTAAATATAAGTCTGTATAAGGTCATGACATGCATACTTTTACCTACCCATTGCAAAAGGGTTAAGAGAAAGAAGGAGGTGGTTTTTATATATGAGACAACCACAACTAGTTGGGATTGATGACATAAATGAGTCAACAGGATGAATCTATAAGGGTTACAATTATATGTTTCAAGGATGAAAGTTTATACTTGGTAATTGTTAAAAACCACCTGATCAGACAGATGATTTCAAAGAGAAATTGAAAATTGAGATCAGGGTTGTTACTAAAAAGGATAGTAAACTATTTCATCACACACATTTGGTGAAAGTGACCAAAGCTATCTTTAAAAAAATGAGTCTGATCAGAAAGAAATATATTAAAACCACGAGTTTTGTATTTTTTACTAAAACCTATGACAAGAATTAAGACACATCTACTTTAACACAAAAACTTCAACAATCACAACACATATTGTGTTAGTGACGATTGCCAAATAAAAACATAGATGTAATTACATTATAAACTTTGTATAAATGGTTTCTCTGCATAGATTAGTTAAATATATATATATATATATATAATATATTAATAATATGAATCAAAATGAAGCTACAATACAAATTGGGTGATATATATTCATTTTAAAAAACACACATTTTGCTAGAAGAAACTTATCTAGTATTCACAAAGTTATAACTTAAATTACACCTATAAATAAAGTTATAACTTTAAGTTATGACAAAACCTAGCTAATTAAATTAGAAATTTAGGCTAGGTGTTCAAAAACAGCAAGAACTGAGCAATTTTATAAAGTTCGCAACAAATTATACTCAGGCTTAAATTAACATAACGTAAACACTACTACTTGCACTCAGTAGCAGAGTTAATATTATTAGTATTAGTATTACTATTACTATTTGTACTATTACTGAACTAACCACTTGTACTAGTAGCAGTGACAGTACTACTACTAGTATTAGGTCAGATAAAGTAACATTCATATATTTTTTAGTAATAAAACAGTTACCAGTACTCAGCAGTAGTTATGTTTCTGTTGGAATACAACTTGTAGTTGTATAGTACTGTACCCAAAATTAATAAAACTGACTCTGCCTAGACTGAAAGTCTAAATTAAAATTAAATTATTAAGTCCACAATCTCAAACAAAACCCTTTACTGAATTAAGACTTAAGTTTATCATTTATATATTTCATGTTATTAACTTATTTTTAAATTTAAAATCGCTTACCCACACCGTACTTCTTATTTTTTGTTGGACTCCACATTTCCTTTTTCACAATATAATGTAATAATCACAGTTTACCTTTACAGAGTTTTAATATTGTAAGAATGAAAATTCTAATCTCATTTTCACTTTCTTTCTATAACTAGTGTAACTCTATAACATAGTTCTTCCTCCATTTTGTTTAATAGCTTCACAATACTGGTGGTGTCGTCTGGTGAGTGAAAGTAACGAAATTGATGAAGGCCATGGCCACACTGATAAAACATCTTCTAGTTTCGATTGTTTCCCTTAAGGGTGGTTCAACGCATCATGATAACTAACGTAAATGAATGAATTTTGTTAGCGTCGTGGGTAATATATATTTATAGAAAAAAAGAAGCCCACACTTAAAATATATATAGGAACAACAAATGAACATTATTATTTATATTCTAAGTAACATTAAGAATTTAAAATTATCCAAAACATTTTGTTACCCAGTGGCACAGCGGCATGTCTGCGGATGTACAACGCTACAAACCGGGGTTCGATACCTGTGGCGAGTAGAGCACAGATAACCGACTGCGTAGCTTTGTGCTTCATTCCAAACCATTTTACATGTTATACTCAGAAAAAGTATATTAAAGATTAAGTACTTAAAATCTAGATCGCAATATTTAGTTGAAAGATGTTTTGTTAACTTTATAAGCTCTGGCGAATAAGTCTGTCAATACTTATTTTTAAAAAGATTGAGGTGGAAAACTTCCTATATTATATGAGTATAATACAACTAAAACAAGCTACATTTCTAGTCCACTTACTATAAACCACTTACAAGTTGATCAAGTAATCATAATGTCAGGGTATGACTCTGCAACAGAAACCATATCCTGGTTACTTGATCAACTGTTTAAACCGTGTCTAAAGTATTGTTACGTCTCCGTTTGTTAGTTAACTTTCCGTAACTTCGTTCCGACGAAACTTT